CGGAAGTGTCTGCAGAGGGCTGAAAGAGCTATGGTGAGGATGATGTGTGGGGTTAAAGTGAAGGATAGGAGGAGTAGTACAGAGGTGATGTCAATGATGGGACTGAATGAGGACATTGTGACATTGATAAGGAGATCGAGATTGCGGTGGTATGGACATGTGTTGAGAAGGGATGAAAGGGTCGGGATTAGGCGAGCGTTGGAGTTCGAGGTTGAAGGAGTGGTAGGAAGGGGTCGTCCGCGATTGGGATGGAGAGAGCAGGTGGAGAAGGACAGGGTGAAAGCGGGGTTGCGTGATACTGAGGCGAGTGACAGATGTGGATGGAGTCGAGGGGTATTTCGGTTTCATCATAGGTAGCCAAACGGCAACCCCCGATCTCGGGGAAAATGCCGTCTAAACGTGTGTTGTTGTTGTGTTGTTTCACTATATATTTCATAAGCATTTTTGACAAATTTGTCTTTAATTTTTGAGAAATAAAAAGAATATTGAAAATTAAAAAAATTGTAATAAGAGGCCAGAAAAAAACTGATAAAAGAAAGAAATGCAGAAGAGGGAGGACTATACGAAATAAGCTACAAGCAATTGACATTTAGGATAAGTAGGCAATGAAAAAGCTACAGGAACAAATACCAATCCAGATCATGAAAGCCAAAATAAAGAAATGCAGCATAAATAAAGAGCTTATTGTTGTAGCCATGGTGGTTACAGAAAAACTTGACATACAGATATCATTATAATTAAATGATTACAAATGACTCAGTAGACCTGATAACATAACGAAGCACTGAAAAAGGCAATGGCAGCGGTCATTTACAAAGAAGAATCCATGAAAAGACAAAGAAATGGTTTGCACAGGAAAAGTATGGCGCCAAAGTTTTGAGAGAGAGAGAGAGAGAGAGAGAGAGAGAGAGAGAGAGAGAGAGAGAGAGAGAGAGAGAGAGAAGTCAGTGAAAATGGCTATTGATTGGCTTGTTTAAAATCGCTTTGATAACATGCACTTCACTTAAAAAACCGACTTACGTTAATCAAGGCAAATAAATAATATTTCAAAAAAGTGAGCAGGTTTTGTTTATAACAAAAAAAGTTATTTAAATATTGCTAGCCATGAAATAAACTATATAAAACAAAACTACTATAGCAATTAAGTTTAAGTTAATGTAATAGAATGCAAAAGCAAACAGATCAAAATAAACAATTATTTTTAGAAAAACAAAAAACAAAAAAGGTTGAACCTACCACAATAACTAAGTAGCACTGGTAAAAAAAGCAATCCATGGAGGGCGCCAAAAAAGACGATTCCCAGGTACATCCTGAAGTAGAATACTTGAAAAAGTTGAGATTTTGAAAAAGCCAGAACAATGATGCCTCCTAACTTTGTCAGCGTGATGCCGCTTAATACCTAATAAAATCAAAATTAATCAGTTACCATAATATGACAATTAATTTTGTATCACATTTACTAGTAGTTAAACCAATATGATCCAATGAATAATTTTGCATTTTTAGTCGAGCGCTTTAAGCTCGGTAATAAAAATTGATATAAAATTTAATTATTTTTCTCTACAAAAGGGCGATTTTAGCTTTTTTTGTTTTACATATTTAAATATTTAGCAAAAATTATTCAAAAATTAAAAACTAGAAATCGAGGAAAGCATGAAGAAGCTATCGCAATAACTCATTCCCGGGTAAACCATCATGGAGAACAGAAAAGAAACAAGTTTATAAAAGGAAGCTACAATGCTGCAGACAGAAATTCACATCTGACGGGAATTGAACCGGGAAATGTTAGAATAATGCTGAGACCAAAAAATTGGAAAATATCATTAGAAAAATAAAATCTCAATGAAAATAAAGAAATTTCAACGTGAAATCGTTCGAGTGATTATTCTGGAGAACAAATAAGAGTGGCAGCATAATTACTTATTAAAAAATTGTCAGCTGCTGTAACGAACATGACCAGATATGACGTTAGGTGTTATATTTTATACGAGTAAGGTAGCCTGTGGAAAAACGCCCTGTGAAGCATTTATTTATTTTTCACCAAAGTTGTTTAATAATGTATATGTTTTAAAAACTAAATTAAACAATTTTTAAAAGGTCATAAAGTCATGTTCGTTTTGATGCAAATTGTTAACTCCTAGTGAATCAATGCATTTTTGTTTTCAGCTATCTAAACAAAACAAAAATTATCACAGCTACTTACTTAAACAAACATCACAAAAGGAATATTTTTAAAAGAGAAAATAAAATTTCGCACTAACAGAACTGCCCATGTAAACCAGTGCTTCCCTAGTCCTGTCCATCCTGGAAGATAGTGACGATAGTGCGAATGTCCTGGCAATGTGGGAACAGAACTCAACGGATATGCCGACGCACATGACCATATTAACCAATGATAGTGCATTCAAATCAATGTTCCAAAAGTACATTAAACCAAACAAGCTAATTGTTGTCATTGAGACTGTTATCATAACAATGATAGAAATAAACAAGTCAAATCCGAGTAGAATAAATGTAACTATGAAGACCGCCAATATGCTGGTGGCAATGTTCATGATGGCATTCTTTTTCAGTGTTAAATATTGTTCGTAGAAAATATAAAAGACGCTGGAAAAAGAAATAAGAGTTTATTAATGAAAATTTAATTAACAAATATTTAACATTCATAAATAATTGCGTACAACACAACAGAGGCAATTAAGTTTCATTCCTAATACAACTCGAACTTAAACTAAACTTAACCATGATTTACGATGAGATTAGGATTTTATGTTGTTGAACATTAAACGTTAAAAAATCAAAAAAGTAAAACGATCAATGAATGAAAAACACAACGATCAACTTACCTATATGGAAAGACAGACTGAGAAATGTTTCTGGACTTGGTCTGATCTGATTTACCAGCATACAATTCTGTATTGTTCCAGTTGTGTATTGATTTTGTTATGTTTTCGCCTAGTTCTCGAGCATATTTCAAAGCACCTTTATAATGTATAAAAATATGACAATTTAAATATAAATTTTAAACTTGCACATAACACCAGCGTCGGTCAGAGTCGCAAATGTTTGCCGGAGTCGGAATTTTTTAGGAGGCCAGAGTCAAAATTTGGAAAATGTCATAAATTTAAAATATTTAAAATTTTTTTAAGATCACGTTTTCCTGAACAGACAAAAGTTCAGAACAGAAATATATGTAGCGATATGGGTCATCTTTAACACTGAAAATAAATGCTAATAATGTGAATAAAATCCATTTTTATTCAGTACGTTTCAAAGTATGTCATAAAGTAATTTTACAAAGAAAAACAATTACGTTGACTGATTTTAATTGTTTTTTAAAGTATTTTTTATTTAGCAGAAGTTTAGAATTTTTTCTAGTAGTTGGAACATGGATTTGAAGTTGGTAATTTTTACACTGAGTCAGAATTTTTGGAGGGGTCAAAGTAGGAGTCCGATATTTTTCATCCAACTCCGACATCCTGCATACCAGACACATATGCACACACACATACTCACAAAAAAACACACGCACACCCACTAATACACACACATCGCAAACAAACAGTAGACGGATTCAAGATATGATCAGATAAGAATCAGCCAGTCCACGTTGTATGGACTGGAGAATAATAAATGAATATGGCATAAGATATAGCTGAAATAAGCTGCCAGTCTGTTAAAAGATATTCCAGTTATAATTCAACATGAATATCGGTGCACACATGTTTAATTTTTACAATGAGCCCAGTATCTATAAAATATGACAACCATATGGCTTAGTGAGTGTTATATTCAAGCAACACACTGAATACTGTTTATAAAAATTAATTTTTTAAACTATTTTTTAAATGTTTTTCATTTTAAATATATTAATTTACATGCAGGCAAGGGCCTATAAGAATGACGCTAAACTAAATAAAGGAGACTGTTTATGCTGAGTTAAAAGTAAGTTTTCTAAACCATTGAAACTTAGTTTTTTTCACGTTGTCCATAATGTTTTGTAAAACAAAAAAAAATTAATCTCTCAAGTTTTCATCTTTCCTTCTCATCGTTCCTGCCGTTTAGACTCAAAACATAACTGGATTTGTCGACTATTTTCATACCACTTTTACCCAGCGACATTATAAGCAATCAAAGACAATAGAGATAAACTTCCGAGTTTGTTAACAAACGTGTGGTTGCGGGAATCCAGTTTTATTCGCTACTGACATTCCGTCCACAAGAAAAAAAGATAATGAATAAAACAGTATTACAATTTTCTAAAAAATTGAGTACCATATGAAACGAAAATCAAAAAATAACAAACCAATAAAATCTTGCGAACTATTGAGCACTTTGTGATAAGTCATGAAGTATGATGCACCTATTTTTGTGTCATTTTTTTTGTCTTTGCCAAGTTTTACAGCCGATCCATAGGCTGCATGACCCCTGCACAAAATCACATATTAAATCATTATTAATAAAATAACAGCAGATTATTTCAAGCTCATATAACCAGAAGATGATGTATATTCAAAATTAAAAAACAAATTAATTAAGAGATAAAGAAAATTTATTGAATACAAATTAAAATGTGACAAGATTAAATTATAATTCAATCACCCCTTAGGACAAGCAACTGTTGGATTATCCTTAAGAAACCAAGGTATGTATTTTGTGAAGTCATCACCTAATGGCCTCTGCGTTTCATTATATCGTTGGATTGGACACTTGATACATTCACTGCTGTTAACTGATGACGTTTAAAATATATCACTATTCCAATTTACAAAATATCTTGTTGAAATATTATGTTAAATTTTTTTTCATTTTATTTCATTATGTTTTATTATGGGCAGCACGATGGCTCAATGGTTAAAGGCACCTGGTCTAGCTGTTGCAGTGACTGGGCTCGAATACAAAGAGATCCCCGCCCATTATATCCAATGTGTGTAATGCGTGGTTTTCACGCGTATTCATGTACGCTGTGTGTGTTTGTCGTTGAAACCTCTGAAGCAAGCGCAAGAGAGATTGACCATTAACTTTTAATCTTTTTATTTTAGCAAAGATAAATAGCAAAAAAATGATTAAAAAATTTCAAGAGATGGTTATTAAACAAGATGAGATCAAGCTACAGTAGAGAGAATACTTAAACCGTCTGTTAAATGAAACAAATCCCATCAATGTCAACTTTGACGCTCCACCCATCGGAAGTCCGATTCCAGGCGATTAGAGGAGCTTACAGAAGCTCTGAAAGCTATGAAGGATGGATAGGCAGCAGGGCCCTCTGGACTCACAAATGACATTATCAAAGCATCTGGTACTGCATCCAAACGTTATTACAACTTTGCCGTGAAATGTGGAGAAATTGCTCAATGCCGACCGAATGGAACTATAGCATGACAGTTCCTCTATACAAAGGCAAAGGTGATCCATTGAACTGTTCATCATATCGGGGTATACGTCTGTTAGAACGCTCCCTGAAAATTGTCGAGAAAATCATTGAGAGAAGATTAACGTCGTACATCACAATCGGAAATTATCAATTTGGTTTCCTAGCAGGGAAATCAACAGTTGATGCAATTCACATCCTTCGGCAACTGCAAAGCATCAACAACTATCACACAATTTTGTAGACTTTGAAAAAGCATTTGATCGAGTTCCCCGTGAAGCAATCAGGTGGAGTCTACGTTGACAACTCATTCCAGAATATCTTGTGATGGAAATGTATACGAATACTAAGACTCTCGTCAGCACAACGGTTGGAAACACAGATGCATTTGACATCGGCGTTGGAATTCACCAAGGCTCGATTCTCAGTCCACTGTTATTTATAACTGTGATGGAAGAAATCACAAAACCGATACGCACTGGTGACATTTGAATCTTATATATGCCGATGATATCGTTTTAACAGCCACGTCTGAGCAGAATGCCGCACCGATGTTTGAAGATTGGAAAACCAAACTCGCCAATCATGGATTCAAAGTCAACATCAGCAAAACCAAAGCAATGAACACTGGTGAACCCATCCAATCCACAGCTACTGGACGATGTTCAGTTTGTAAAGCTGGTGTAAATAACAATTCAATCAAGTGTCAGCAGTGTAATCAGTGGTGCCACAAACGTTGCTCAAAAATAATTGGTAATTTATCTAAAGTGTCCAATTTTGTTTGTCCTGTTTGCATCAATCCACAGCAACAAATTCAAAATAGTAATGTTTTTGAAGCCATTAAGGTAGAGAAAGTCACATTGTTTTAATATCTAGGAGATGTTCTGGATTGTACTGGAACAGCTGAAGCTGCCGTTTCAGCACGCATACGTGGCAACCTGGAATAAATGGCATCTCCTTGCCTCTATATTGATGCGGCGTGACATCCAACTACCAATACGATCAAGACTTTATAAATCTGTGATACGTCCGGTATTGTTATATGGTGCAGAAACATGGCCAATAACAACCAAATTGGAACAACAACTTCAACGAACTGATATGAAAATGCTCCGATGGATGCAGCGAATTATTCTGAAGGACCACATAAAAACTACCGAAATCCTGCGTCGTGCTGGTTTAGATGATATAAAGGAAGAATGCCGGCAACACCGTCTGCGGTGGTTTGGTCATGTCAAACGAAGTGGAAATAGTGCCATAACTTTTCTTGCAGATGTTGAAGTACCTGGCTCACGTCCCAAAGACCGCCCGAAGAAGTCCTGGTCGTAAAAAATCGAGCAAGACATGAAAGCTCTAAATTTAAATGAAATGGATACAACTGATCGTCTAATTTGGCGCAAAAAATTGATGGCAAGAAAACAACGTCCTACTTCGAGGGAACTGGGTCTCTGGACGCTAAACGAAGATTGATTGAAATAGCAAGTTATTCTTACAGTGAATTTAAACTTGTCCTGGTTATGACATTAAACTGACCCTCACTGCCTTGTGAGTGATGTTGGATCATCAAAGGCTAGGCCCACCGCTTATAACTGTGGTTGCGTAAGGAAGGGCGTCCTGCGTAAAAATTAGCCAAATAAATTACTTATGATGACAGAAGTGACAATGGCCCTCAGTGAATGGCGTCGAGGGGTATTTCGGTTTCATCATAGGTAACCAAACGGCAACCCCCGATCTCGGGGATAATGTCGTCTAAACGTGTGTTGTTTGTTGTTGAATTTAAATTTAAATTTTAGACAAAACCAGTCGAAACGCTCATAACGCTAAAAGCTTAAATTTGAAAAAGTTAACGAATTATGGACTTAGAGGAAAAAAATGACTAGAAGAAAAGAAATAATGAAAGATATCGACGTACCACTAGACTTGCAAAATGATCCATTGTTCACAAATTGTCTGCAACAAGGACTGCCAGGAGCAGTCCAATCATAATAATCATCAATCCAAGATGACGGAACGTTTGATATAAAAGAACTGTGATGATAAAATAATAGTTATTAGCTAGGAAATTTTTATTTGCAAAATAAGACAATATTTGTAACACGTACAAGTACATATAAATAAATCCAATGTAACTGCTTATAAAATGTGCTTATAAAAAAGAAGCTAACTAAACATTAGACTAAAAATATCAATTGTAAAACAATTTTAACTTACCAATTTGGCTGCCTGGTTGCTTCAAATATTTCTGACAAAAGTGAATTTGAGGCACAGCCACTTGACCCGCACAACTGATTCTGTCCATCTTGTGAAACGTAATCAAAATCTTCACCGACAACAAAGTACAATGGAGATCCAATGGAAAGAAATTTTTCCATAGATTCAAAATACCTCAAAACATAGGAGTCCTGTTTGCAAATTAATGAAACTAAATATATTTAAAATTGATCTGATCCACTAATAACATCATCAATATCGTCATCGTTATTTATTTAAATAATCAAAATTAGAATAATTGAAAAATGAACCACAATATAACAACGCTACTTAATTAAACTTTTTATGTAACAAGCACAAGATATATCTACAAGGTTGTTTGCAAACGTTCGTGAATGACGTAACAGCACAAACCTCTGGAAGTGATAACTTGGGATCCAGTCCTATTTCAATTTTGTGAATCACTGCAAAACAGAGGCATGACCAACCAACAAATATGATCATCTTTAGTATCGAAACAATAAATTAACTTCCGAAATATTTTTTAAAATAGAAAATTTGTTTTATTCGCAAATCTACAACCCTAATCACTATGACAAATATTAAAAAATGTTACTCAAAGCTTACACTGAGATGTATCAAATTAGATCAAACTCTGTCCAACGTAGAACTGCTTAGATGTTATTCTATACTAATAATTAAACTTTTGTGCCACAAAGGCTGTACACTTTCCACACCACATGACGCACATACACATTACGTATGCATGCACGCGCAAGCACCACATCATACGGGTATGATGGTCTTTGAGTTTTGAACCACGCCATCGCGTAATAACAGACACGGCACTTCTACTGACTGAGCTAACTGGGTGACCAGTCACAAAACTATTGTTGAGCATTGTTAACTATAAACTTCTGTTACTATTTACATTTTTCATTTGTTTCAAACATAGATATATCATATATCAACATATTACATTCCTTATATGATATACTTAAATTTCAAATATATTTTTTATTTGAAATTGATTTAAAAACAAAAGCTGAAACAAAATGTTCATAAAAGTAATAATTTTAATTTTCAAAGTTATTTTGTCTAAATTTATTTATTCTGAACTGATAAAAATATTTAATGCACTGCACATATAAGATTATTCAACACCATCCAATGGTCGTGTACAAGTACATTGTTTCCAAAACTCATGTGCAGTTCATTGTTGAGTTGATCCTGAGTTCTCTCAATAATATCACAAAATCAGCCGAGTTGCAGAGATGTAGCCATTAATCATGGCATAGAGTGCTTAAAATACAACATAACGAAATAACAAATTAAAAAAGAGACTAACTATTATGGGTCTGACATATTTGTTGAGAAGCACTTTTGACATTCTCTTCTTGACAAATTCAAAGACAACACCATGCCTAGATGAAGCCCTCAATAGTGAAGGATTATCATCCCTTAATACTGGCACACAGCAACATATATCTGGTCGACCAGACTGTTGGAATAAGTGTTGTGATAATAATAAAAAGTAACAACTATTTAAAAAAATTTTACTTATAAGCAGAGATGCTAATAAGTTTTATATGCTAAAAAGCTGCATAACGTTATCACACAAGGTATATAAAAATCTATATTACTATTTAGTCTTAAAATCAGAGCCATATATTGACAAAAATGCGCCAAAACTAAACGACAGTGAAAAACTTAACTATGTAAGTAATTTAAAAAGAAATTCAAAATAAATATTTTTGTCTACTATAAAGCAATCCTTTATTCCTATCTACAACAACAATGCAATCATAAATTATAATTTTTTCCACAGTTTTTAAATAAGTCATGGATCAAGCATCAAGAAAAGTATATAATGCATTTATTATTTCTGCAATAATCCATTGATTCAAACTTTTCTTACAGTTTCTTTTTCTCATAAGTGCAGATTTATTTTAATATGTAAATATGCTCAAAAATTAAAGCGTGTGAAGAATAGTATGTTTATACTCAAATTTCTATTTTGGATATATATACACAGTTATAAATAGCCATGATTTTTTGTGTGTTTAATTATGTACAAACAATATTCAATATATGTGTGATATGGTAAGAAATATATGGTGGTATGGTAGGTTATTTATTTCACTTATTTCATTTGGGTATGATTGTTCATACGGATCGGTGATGATGATATGGATGTGTGGCTATTTTTTATTTTATTTCTTTCTAATGTTGTAAATAATTTTCGGACATACTTGTTTAAACTGTGTGAAGAAAAGTGTTTATATTCAAATTTCTTTTTTGGACGTATGTTGTAAAATTATTAACAAGGTTTATTTGTGTTGTGTGTATCTAAAGAATATTCAATATATGGTATGCATGTAGATATATAGAAGTAGGTGATATGAAGGCGAGTTGAAAGTAAGGTGCCAAAATTGACAGAGAGAAGTTTGTAGTGTTATTCAAGTGGCTTTTTATTGTTGTTAGTTAGTAATTGTTATCAGTTTGATGGTTCAAAAATGATGATGCAGATGGTGGTGTCCTCGCTCAAGAGTTATCAATATCGACGCATCCCTGCATCATAGAAACTATGGCTAACTTTAAAATCTAAAAATCGATTTCATTTTAAGCACACCCAATTTTGCTTTTGGCTAGTGTAATGTTAAAGTTGGTGTAACATTTTTTCACTACAAATATCTAAAAAAACAGATGAAAATTATGAGAAGAGTGACTTCAAAACACTTACATAGTGCCTAATAGCATCAAAAGTCATGAGACTGACAAAAAATGATATTTGTAGAAGAAAGTCAATGAGAACAGCCATAGCAGCATACAAACTGAACACACGAACAGCAGGCATAGGAGTCAGTGCACCTGATAAATTATAATTCAATTAATTCATTTTGCAACTAAAATGGTGAATAAATGACCCTATAAAAATATTTGTCATATGTTTACATACAATTTTTTTCCAATGGCTTCAAAAAATACTTTAAGGACGAAAAGCATATTGAATAAACTGAGCAGACTTTAAATTTTTCATAAAACTAAATTAAGAAAAGCAAACTGAGTATGCAATAGACATCATGAAGACTTACCAAGGAAGAAAGCCAATGATTCAGATAAACTAGTGAGCAGCATGCTGGGTCCTACTTTCCCAACGACGGTACTCACCATATCTTCTACGTTCATTCCTTCTTTATAATCCAATCTCTACAATAACAAAAACAGTAAATATTAAAAATAATTTTGATATGGTTATTTTTATAAATCCTGGACCATCCCTGTCACCCATAAAACTAATATTCTTTTTAATATTAATAATGTTGTCAAATATCATCTTCTACCAATTTATATTGGAAAAAATAAAAACTAACTAAAAACAAATGAAATGAGTTAATAAAATAATTAAAAAACCATGAAATCTGACGCAAAATTAATTTTTTCTATATATCAGAGGAAATCCTTAAAAGAAATAAACTCATCAATAGAAGTTGTCAAACCTGAAATGCTTGAACGAGGATAAAAATGTTATCCACACCAACAGCTAACACAAGGAATGGCACAACTTCAATGATAATTAAAGTAGCAGGAACGTTCAAATAGCTGAAAAATCCGACACTGGATGACACCGACAACAATACAATCACCACTCCGAATAGTCCTAGCGATATCTTCAGGTCAACCTGTGAATTTCATTCAGTGAAAAAAGATTAAATACATAACTATAAAACCTTAATAAACATGCCAAAAACTATGCTGAATGGCATCTACAAAAAATGTATTCTGGAAAACTTGGCACAATGAATGTTAAAGCAGTTGGAAAAATAGGTGAGATGAGATGAATTAATGAATAACTGAATAAGTAATAAAATAATGAATAAGTAAAAATTTAAGTTCCGTTAGTAATGAGATGTTTTTTCATCAGCTTAAGTAATTAAAACTTAAAAGACTTCAAAGAAACTATATGTAATATATAAATAAAAATATCAAACAAAACTGACACGAATATATCCGGGACTAAAATTTATAACTTGAATCTATAGAACAAAAACATTAAGTGAAAAGGCGACTGAAGTAATTAATTATGAATAAACATAGGTATTTTAAATACATAAATTTTTTCCAGATAAAACAATTTTATATTTTAGAATAAAATTTGTAGTTAATTGTTGTGCACGGAATTGTGAAGCTACACATACTGCTATCCTTTTGCACAATTTCTGCTCTAAAGGTTATCATGCAGGTAGGCAACGCAGAATTAAAAAGAATGTAGAAAATTGTAAAAAGAAATCGTTAGTAAGCTGTCTAAAAGAAACACGGTAAAAGACATGATTCGTCATCCAAACCTGGGTTGACAAAGCTGAAATGTAAGGATACCTTACTGTCTAGAAATAAAAAAAACTCTGAACTTGCGGGTTTAACGTTCTTCTATATATACAGAAAAGTTCAAATAGTTCCCTCCTTATAGCTATGATCTTCTCTCTTCATAAAGTTCACCCTTGCCATAAGACTCAGTTGATCGGCCACAGAAAAGCTTGACTAAAAATTTTGAAATTCCTCGCCCATTTTCTTGTTTTATACGTTACCCTAACCAAAAACTCTATCCCAGGACTTAAGACTAGGGTTTGTGACATATTCATTATGTAGTTCTGAGTCTCAGTATGGGGGCTTTGGAGTGAAAACTAAACGTCATTTGGTAATTCAACAAAATTGTCGCCGTTTCGGTTAAAGAACAAAAGAAAGAAGACATGCATTCATAATTATTTGCATACTATGTTGCACAAATCTCACTAATTTTTCATTAAAACACACTGAAATAATTTATTAGCAGTCAAAAAATTAGAAGCTTACCAAAATTGTAGAACACTTATGATACGACCCAAGTGTGATTGATACATAAGCAAACATGATTAGGTAGCTTATGAGAATGGTAGACACATCTGACTTACTCTCTCTATCCAATTCATCCTCTATGGATCTCTGTATTTAATAAATTACAAGTATGCATTATTTTGTCACAAAGCTAATTGCAACACAAAGCTGCATAAAAACTATATTGTAAACAGATCATCACATGATTTTACAAAAGTCTGTCATATTTTATTAGCAATTACTGCAGTCATGTTATTAGTAGTATAAGTGTAAAGTGCACAAACTAGGACAAGTTCAAAACATCAAGAACAAAATTAATTGATATTACCAACATCATTACCGCCAACAATCTAACCAAAACTAAAAATTAGTCATTACTATGAAATCACATGAAAAAAATGCTCAACATTTTAACCAATAAAATCATATATGAAAGCAGTCGGTCACAGAACCACACCAGGTGACAAAGTTAGATGATATAAAAAATGATGAAAGCCTAAAAAGTTCGAGACATCTTGAAATGAAGTATTGAATGAATGAAAAATAGTGCAAGTAAGTATAAAAACTTATTAATAAATAACAGTGTAGTAGATAAAAGTCTTGGCATAGCTGCTGCAGCGATTAGGTTCGAAAGCAAGAATATCCACACCTGTCACATTCAATAATAAAGTGATGAGTGGGAGTTTGTTGTTGATAACTCTCACTCTCTCTTTTTCTCTGAGTAAAGTGAGAGTTGTAAAAAAATAAATAGAAATAGTTATCATAGACAAAATAACAAATAACGAATTACTGAGTGAAAACTTTCGTGACTAAAAATATTATTACAAAAAATAAATATTATTAGTGTAAAAAATAAATCATGAATGATGTTGTAAACCTCCGCATTAAAATCAACTTCAATAAGATCACTCTTGTAAGATGACATGAATGCAAGAAATTCCTTCTCCCAGGCTAATGCTTGTTCTTGGAAATTATCTTTCTTGAAGTTGTTGATGACGTATGTTACTACGAGGGCTTTCGACAACAAAAAGTCTTTTCCTTTCAAACAAAAAAGTTTCTAAATTTAAACATTTTCTTAATTTTTTTTATAACTAAAAATTTCATGGCTGTAAAAATTAGCAACATGTAACGACGCCAAACACATTTTTTTTATGAATAATTCAAATTAAAAACATCATTCAACAAATCAATTTTGAATCTGTTTCAAAAACATGAGTTGACTTTTTTGTTCCTTATAACGCAGCTTTGACAAACGTGGTGAACTTTCCACCATCGCTCATTTAGTTGCGATGAAACTACTGTGTTAGAAAGAGCATTCGTACTGCACTGCATCCTTTGTACCTATGTACAAGCATTGCATCAAGCACATTCACACAAGGTGTGAACAGAAAGCCAAGATCAGTGAGCGATAATATGGCATTAACACCTTCTGCAATGAAAAGAATTGTTTTGTTCTTTAGGGAACATGAGCCACTTAAGAATATTTTCATGAATATTTTTTTTTATATATATATATTCAGTGTGAACAATCTGATAATTTTCCTTTTATTAAGAAAGGATATTTAAATTAACGCGTACCTGGAAATCCTCCAAAAGCAGCATAAGGATTGATAGGACCTCCAAAATCAGCCAGGCAGGATTTCCCAATTGATGTTTCATTTACTGAAATTGGACTCCTGCACAATTTTATAAAATGCTCTAAAACCAACAATTTGTCTATTTGGAAGGCCCACACAATCAATTACATTAAAAAACCTAATAACAACTTTCAGCAATGCAACATTCACTATTTCGTTTCGTTCATATTTTTGTAAAATTTCAAATTGTCTTGTGAAAAAATGTGATCTTTCGGTGAAAAAACATGTCACAGGTACTATCGTATTTGAGCAAACTACAATTTTATCCAAGCAGGTACAATTGCATTTGATCAGTTAAGTTCCGTGAAAATAATGTGCCATATGACAATTGTTGTAAAACAATATGGAAAATCTTATCAACGAAAAAAAAAATCACAAAGCAAAAAGGCACTTTTTAATTTTTTATTATTCAAGTTACAATAGACTTTTTTGAAATCGTGGGAGTTTCAGTGTTCAAGAAAAAAATATTGTCTACAAATCAAAAACAAGGTGGAAAAATAATTATTCTGTAAACCATGCACCAGGCCATGGAAACAAAAAGAATTGGTAATTAGTTTAGTTGTTCATGTAAGATTACATTATCAACTACTACAACGGTGGAACAATTTTTTAAATTATGTTTCACAAAAATACTTGTCGAGTTGAGGCAATCAAATTATATGATTATTTATGATATTAATTTGTAATTATAATTGATATCATTTCATATTATTTAAATACTTCCAATGACAGGAAGAGTAGATTCACCAAAATTCTAAAATAGAATAAAAATCGGATTGTATGGAAAACTAAATTATACATGAAGCAAATAAATTTTAAGAAGATTAAAGTTTTACACCCTCCAAATTAAATATATGAAATTTAAATATAAAAAAAATTAAAATTCTATTTTGGCATTGTTGAAAACACTAAAAAACACGTTTCCACAATTAATAAACAGGAAATTAAATTTTATTAAAAAAGCTCCAATTTCATAATACACCATAAGCATTCCTCCATAAATAAGCGTACTATTTTAAGAGTATGAAAATAAAATATAAACTATTATAAAGAAAATTACATACAAGCATAATGTAATAGTAATGATACAAAAAATCCACACCATTCACCAATGCAAAACAAACATCCATATCATACAAACAACGTATTTATTAACAGTACAGAATAAACATTCCCATCATACAAGCCTCAGTCACTCGCCATGGCGCTTTATAGAACATTACCATTATTATTATTACTATTATTATTATTAACAGTAGTAGTAGTACCGCCAATGCCAAATAAGCATTTATATCATAAAAACTAGGGCTGTACCGGATTTAAGTTTTCCAAAACTGACCGGAGTCGAATTTAATCTGATTAGCATTGGTCGCATTTTTTGGGTGTGTTGGCCGAAGGTGTCAATAATGCAAAAGTAGAAAATTTTTTCAGCATATTTAGCTTTCTTGGTGATATGACACTGGGGCATAACAAACACTGGCATTTGCAAACATTGTCAGGCTTCTCTCTAAAATATTCCTATATTCCTAATAATAAGGAACTTGTTTATATTTTCGCTAATGATTAGTACCTGATTGATAAATAAATAACTTTTAATGCGAGGTAACTATTAACTTTAGTTTACTTTTACGATTTCCATAAACATAGTATAACATAACATGAGCCAGATTTGGAATAATGGCCGAAGTTTTGGCGGAGCCGAATTCCGGTACAGCCCCAATAAAAACAACAAAAAACATATTTAATATCAGAGAGGGAAGGAAATAAGTGAGACAAACTTGGAGCAACCAGCAATATGACTGATGAAGTCTCCTGTGACGAAGAAGTAATTTTCTACCACCTCATTGAGAGTATCATTGTCATTTTGAAAGTAGTTAAGAGCAGACATTATTGTACAGTTATTGTTGTCAGGAGAGAGGGGTGAGAAACAAATATCACCCAACGTAACATTTTTTGTTGCAACAGTAGATCCCTCACTCTTCACATTCACACTACCAACAAGACTCTTAATCTTATTTTGCAGACTTAGCACTTCATATAAAACATCTTGTCTCAGCGCAGGTCCAACTTCACGAATTAATGCACCACTTGTCTTCCAATTGCTCATATTTTTAGGCTTGACTATCAGCATTGCTGTTCGATAGAATGGGCTGCAGTCAAAATAATAAAATAATTTTAATAAACTATAGTTCATTTTAAGATGTAGTTATTTTATAATATATGTTTGGTCTAACCAAATTTAGCAAATAAATTTGAGCAAATTAAGAAACTCTTTGAAAGCCCAAAAATTAACACTAGATACAAATCCGAGAAGTTAGAAATTTAGTAAATTGAACAAATTAAGTTACAAATCGACAACTGAAAAATAAAGACTAACGAGAAATTTGCATCAAAATAATCCTTCTCTTTACGAGCCTGACTCTCTGGAGAAGACCACAACTCAACAGGATCTGTAACTACTTTAAACCTGAAAACACCTGATGTTAGTGCAGCACAAACTAAAATAGATGCTACCACTACCAACCAACGCCTTCTGGCGCAAAACCTTCCCCAGTTAGCAAATGACTTTTCAAGAAATTCTTCAACTTTAACCTGCAGCTTCTCCATGCATGTAGGATTTGAAAATGTAGGGAGAATTGATCTAAAACTGCATGAACTTGGCGATGCTGAAATCTCAGATTCATTGTCAGAGTTGATGATCACACTGTCTTTGGAAAATTTGCAGTTTAGTACATTACCAAGACATGTACTCGAGAAAAGCTGCAAACAAGTTAAAATTTAAACAGTTAATAGTTGAATAAAATAATTATAGTTGCTCTTTACATTTCATTAAAATTGACTTCTATTTAAATTTCAAGTTAAAATTTAAACAGTTAATAGTTGAATAAAATAATTATAGTTGCCATTTACATTTCATTCAAATTGACTATCTATTTTAATATTTCATTAATCATCTTCATCAAAATCAAAGTTAATATTACAAAATAAAGTTTTCTCAAACTTGTTTTATAAAATAAAGAGCTCAGTACATAAAAAAATTTAAATAAGCAAACAAAATCTGATCAATAAAACTTAGGAAATGAAATGAGAAAAATTTGATACACAACTCCTCAAATGAAATAAAAACAAAAGTAATATAAAGAAAAACCCAAGTATAACTATATTACATACCTTAATAACCATGTGGAAAAAACAAAAAAAAATTAGAAAGGAAAAATAATGTTAAAAAAATAATAAACATAATACAAGAAAAAAATAATAAGAAATATTTCACCAGAATACATTAGTTTAGCTGACAATATATAAATGCAGGAACAAGTTTATGAATGGACAAATAAATTATTGCTTTAATAACGGTTCAGTTAAGTTTATCTAATTGTTTTGATTTTCTTAACATTTTTTTCTTAACAATGTCCTGGTTATGACATTAAACTGACCCTCACTGCCTTGTGAGTGATGTTGGATCATCAAAGGCTAGGCCCACCGCTTATAACTGTGGTTGCGTAAGGAAGGGCGTCCTGCGTAAAAGTTAGCCAAATAGATTACTTATGATGGAATGGCGTCGAGGGGTATTTCGGTTTCATCATAGGTAGCCAAACGGCAACCCCCGATCTCGGGGAAAATGTCGTCTAAACGTGTGTTGTTGTTGTTTTGATTTTCTTAACAAATAGTCAATACTGAAGCTCAAGTCTTAATAACATTTATATGTGTTTGATGTTTTTATAACAGTCTTGTTTGAATGGTTTAGGGTTTGAGGGAGGAATGTGCAGATAAATATTAAATGCAATAAAAATCATATATTGGAAAGGTTATTAATGTGGTAAAAATATCAGCAGTTGTGTTTTTAATGACATAGAATACGTTTTTGATGCTGAATTTGTTTGTGATCAAAAATGCTACAAACTAAATCTATAAAAACGATAATAGATTAATAGATGTGTAATTATATTGTTAGTTTTACATTTACAATATATTTATTAAAGTCAGTGCATATGTCATAATTTTCAATGATGATATGGTAATAAAAAAAAGTTTAAAATGATTTTTCTTTGATTTTCAAACTGTTGAACAGCTTTAAATGCATTTTGGTTTAAGTCAAAAATAAAAAAATAAAAATCAATTTAGAAACGAAAAAACACAAAACTTCAACAATTTAGTATAATAAAATTCTAAAACGTTTTTTAATTGATTGGAAATTTGATTGAAAATAAAAACATACTAATATGATGATGAAGATGAGAAGAAATATAACAAAAGCAAATGCAGTTGCCATGTAGACTCCATCATGCCCAAGTATCAACCATTGTTGTCTAGCAGGACATGGCCTCTCAGGAAAGCAAGAACTGTTACAGTCCTGACAAAGACATATGCCAACACAGGGAGTGGTCTGAGCATTCATCGGGTGGTAAGTCTTGTTATTTTCTACAACTTCATCTTCCACTGTTATTTTAAAGTTTATTTGAAATGGAGACACCCCTTTCATTCCAAGAAAATCCAGCCAGACCTATATAAAACATTTTTTAAATAAAATTATAAGTTTAAGGAAGAATCAAAAATATTAAATTTGTGAAAGCAGACTGCATAAAAAAAAAAACTAAAGTCAATAATGCGACGATGTGGATTTCAACTTAATTAATGACTAAATAATGACAAAAAATGTACAATATTTTCTTTAGTTTAAACACATGAAAAAAGAAGGTAACCTTAGGAGTACAAGATTCACCAGCTGAACCACACATAAGTGACATAGCTTTCTGACCAGAGCTGGGACTTTGTACATCCTTACATGATGCAAATGTTGAATTAGTGAAGTTGGAAGAGATGTAGTATGATATTTCACCCACGAAGCTTATATTATCATAGCTAGTGACTGTCATGAAGTCACTTTGATTGGAACTACAAGTTAAATGACAGAAAAGATTTTGGAAATTTCTTAGACATGGGGGACATCTTGACAAGATCTAATATAATAAAAATTGATGGTGTTAATTAAAATGATAACATAAAATACTTTATCAAAAATTAACAAGAACTTGGACATTTTTCTAAACTCATATTGCAAACTATTAAATATTGACAAATTAAAACAAACAAAAATTAGTATTTTAAAAATCCATCAAAATGTTAAAATATTCAACAAATAAAATCAGTTTCAAGAAGCTATGCAAAGCCTGACAAACAATAAAAGAAAATTGCAGAAGTTTTTAATTGCAAATATAACAATGGGTAAAGACTGCAAAAAGTTGTAGCCAAAATAATGGCAGGCTAAATAAAATTGATCATGAACCCTTTTAAAATAATAATAATTAGCCTTATACATGAAAAATCCATCAGACATTTTCCATGCCATAGAATTTTGTATTTATGTATCAAATCCTTGTAGTGTACTAATATAAATGCACTTATTAAAATCTTCAAATATAGATAGAAAACAAATATTTGGCATTAATAAAAGAGAATGTAACATAATGTTAAATTATTTATTAAAAATAATAACTATAAGGTAACAATGTTAAAAAAAAATTTTTGAAACATATTCTGTTATTTTTAATTTTCAATAACAATTTTGTAAACTGCAAAAAGATCTTTAGGACCCTACTTACCTCAGGAGCTTAATTATACAATTCCATTCCATAAGTTAGGTTCAGGGGAAGGTTTTTACAGATTTAAGGTTATAAAATCAAAATAATATATAAAATTAAAAAAAACAATGAAATTAAATTAACTGCTGTTACTAACAGTTCTTGCAACTTCCATTTTCCTATTCATCAATGCAATTTGTTCGGCATCACAACATGTTCTGACATCTGTGAAAATTCAGCAGTGAAGTTTAAGTGAAAAGAATAAAAACTTATATTAATTATATAAAAAATTCTACTGACCTGATAAGTCATCTACTAAATCTGGGCACATGTCACTCAGAATTTCAATACTTTCTTTATTAAACAATGGTTTTGCTGTTCCATTGTAAGCCTTATTTCGTTCTTGAGAATCCTGACCATACCAAATGCAATGCGGCTTTTCACTCTTAAAATAAAAAATATATTTAGGATATTATTTTTATATAACTAATTGATAAGAACACACATATAAGAATAAAAATAAATAAAAAGGTGAATAATAAAAAAAGTCTGAGTCAAATTTCAAAAAATTCTCACTCCAACTCTGGCCCCTCAAAAAAATTTGATTCTGATTCCTAAATCCGATTCCAGTTTGTAAATCTCAGGAAAATTTTTAAACTTTTGCATTACAATTTCATCTTACAATCATTACTATGATGTGTTGTTTCACTAACATTTATATGCAGCGTGTTTGCTGTTTTTCTGTGAGCCTTTGAGAATTGTTGAAGAGATATTTGTAATAATAATAATAATAATAATAATAATATTGCACTAAATAAATAATACTTTGAAAAACACTTAAAATAGTAAATATAATTGTTTCTTTAAGTAAAATTACTTTATTTTTATGCTTAAAAACTTACTGAAAAACTGTGATTTTATTTTATATAAATTATTTTATATATAATTATAAATATTATTTTTTTAAATTGTGATTTTATATATTCATGATATTTATATATTATGAATACCCCTCTAGGTCTATTATTATCACAAATTGTTTATTCATACTTTGATAAATTGTAGTACATTATAGTTTTATTATGTGTGCATGCCTATATTTATATATATGTGCAAGTGCATATATATATGTTTGTTTGCTTTTTATGTGCTTGTAATTTTTATTATAATTGAAGGTTTAATTGTGAGCTGGTCAAATGGGTATTCAATTGGCGTTAAATGTTTGTTTATTATCATTATTTCTGATCGTTTGATTTGTTGTGTCCTCAATTGTCCTTATGTATGTTTTTGCAAATAGCCAACATACTTAATTTCAACGATTAATCAAGGATTGACATGTTTGTGTTAATTGTTTGTTTTATTTATTCATTCGTTTATTTATTTTTATTGTAAACGTATATATATGTCTGCATTCATAAGTGGATGAATATATATCCGTATGTAAAATTTAACATCATTGTAACATTTTATATTCGGTTAGTTAAGGCACTACTACAAGTATGTATTTACTTTTCTTTTGTGCTTTCAAAACAAATTAATTCACATTATTACTATTTATTTTCATTAATAAAGAGGATTGTTTATTGCTACTTACATTTGTCGTCTAAAAAAACTCAATCTTAAAAGAAATTTTCAGAAAAAAATTAAATTTTTTTAAAATTAATAACATTTTCTGAATTCTGACTCAAGTCCTTTAAAAAATTTAGACTGACAGAATTCTTCAACTCTGACACTTTGGTCTTTACTAAGTGAATTTGTTCAGCGTCTACTGGCCAGTTATAACACAATTATTAAAAACAAATTAATTTTGAAAAATTAGACATGTCAATGCTTGGGAAAAGCTAGGTATATCCCAGAAAAGAAAAAAAACTTTTGCATGACAAAAAGGTAGAACAATTAAAAAAACAATGAAGTTATAATAAGCAAATAAATTAAAAAAAAAACAGAAAATGATTAAATGAAAAAATAAATCCAGATTCAAATTAATTAAAATTCAAATAGAAGCACATCTGAGATCCAGTTGAAAGTTTCTGAAAATAGAGAAAATATAGCAAGAACAATTGGTGATGTACTAGATGTTTTACAGTTTAAAGATGTTGCTTACTTAAAGGTTAAAGTATTACACTCTTCCTAGGTTTAATAATAATAATATAAACATTTATGAAGCGCCCATTCGGACAGCTGCTTCAGAAGCGCCCGGAGCCCGTGTTAAAAAGATGAGTCTATAATCCCTTTTTGAAAAGACTCAACGAGGAACATTGTCTTAACTCAGGAGGTAACGCATTCCAGACATACGGAGCAGCGTGACAAAAACCGCGGCCAGCCAGGCGGGATCCGGCAACGGGAATGTTTAAAAAACCTGTTGAGCTGCTGCGGAGTGATCTGGTATGTTCATGTCTGGATATGAGGTCGTATAGATATGTTGGGGATTTTTATAAAAGGGTTTTGAAGGTAAGGACTGCAATTTTGAAGATGATTCGAGCGGAAATTGGAAGCCAATGAAGCATTGGAAAGAGAATGGAAGAACTAAAACGAGGAGGTTTATTAAATATAAGTCTAGCGGTTTTATTTTAGATAGTCTGTAGCTTTCTGACAGATGCACGTGAGGCCCCATTAGATGAACCAACAACGCACCACAAAAATTGCATATGAATACATGCTAAATGACCCATCACATACAAAGCATGGGATAAGTCAGTATCTTTTTGTCTATGATTTTATTGCAAAACCTAATAAATTTCAATTTTATAACTTTAGCTCATTTTTGGCAACAAATCTTGAAAAAAATTGATTGAGTACAACTAAGGCTACAAGATCCTAGAATGAATTTTGGAGAAGCATTCTATGATCTTCACTATTGGCAACTGAACTAGCAATAAGGAATCCGATCTGTAAAAGAATTATTCAAAAAGCGAAGTTCTATATAAAGAGATGCAAAAAATGCCTGAAAAACTGGCTAGTGATGTGGAAGATGAACTTTCTCATGTCATGAAGGGTTTTCTCGTCGCATGCAACAAGAAATGAATAGACAAATTATGAGACTAACCGTGATCTCATCTCCAAAATAAAATTTTTATTGAATGTGGAAAATTTATGGAAAAGAATATAAATAATGATGTTATCCAAAGAAATTTTTAAATTCGGGCATGTTTTATAATATAGATTTTGATGGAAGAGAAATGTATAAACATCTCCGTCTAGAATCGTTATTCTCACTATGAATCGAGATTCTATAACAATACAAGATTTCTGATATCGTTATTCAAAATTCAAATGCTACTATTTTCCAAAATTTTTGTATTGAAATAAAAAATACAAGGCAAAAATTTTGTGTTATATCATTATTACGAAATGTTGAAACAAATGTTCAATTTTGGCCAGTTTTGGCCAAATAATCTTGTTTCTGCCAAAATTTCAGTCAAAAATCAGCCAAAAGTTCTGTTAGGCCAATACTAATTTTCATGAGTTATTACATAATTATTATTACATAATCAAAATTTGAGTTTTCAGCTAAAATAACTAGTTGAGTTAAATACAATAATTTACGTAGAACGTTAGAAGATTATTTCGTTTTTTCAAATCTGAACAATGTCAGATGTAACTGGATTTAAAAACACAAATCTGGCCAGAGTAGGATTTGCACATTGGTTATAATATAAATTGTGAACGTGGCTATGTTAGCTTTGAAAACACTAGTATCAAATCAAGCATAAAACTTTGTTATTTTAGATTCCTATCAATAAAAAACTCAATAATTGAATAATAATAATAATAATACTCAATAATAAGTTAAAATTAATTGAATTTATACCCTTTATACTAGATTTCTGTAAATACTCTTTCTTATACACAAACATAACATACATATATAATGAAAAATTGTGCAATTATGCAAACATCCCACATGTTAACACATTTTGAACAACAAATAGTGCTTGGTGTTAATGTCAGTAATTTAAAAGTAATTGAGATAATCAAGATAGTAACATTAATCAGATGATACAATCTTAATTCTTCACACTTCAAATCATTTGCAGATGTACTTTAGGCTCAGTGATTATTAATATACACTAACATATATGTTCACAGTGAACAAATAAATGCATACAAAAATATATAGCTACATACATAAGTATAAATAAATTCTAACTTAAGTTACAAAAATCTAGCCCAAATTCAAAACCCATTCTAGAAAAGCTTTTATTTCAAGCATACAACCTAAAATTTTTCAATTTTGAATAAAATTATGCATATACATTAATAATTATGTATATTATTAATAATTTTTGTAATTAATCAAAATATTGTTCTAATTATCATACACTAAATATTATTATTGAGTGGTCAAAATTCCATCTAAAAAATATTTTGGCTTTCAACAAGTTGTATTATTATTTAATGGACTTATAAAATTCAAACTTTTCTTTGGATGGTTAATGAAATGTATATCAGTTAGTAGGAAGTATTTTCTTTCATTTTCTATAGTTAAATAAACATTAAATAAATAAATCGGCATCACTTACCAACACGTTAATAAACAAATTAATGAACATGAATTTTATTTTACAGCTAACGTACTAATAAGCTAAATTGCGGTTGCCCAGATAACAGGACTGGACAAATGCAACATATTCCAGACTGGTTCAATATGCACCGAGACCTGTGCACTGATTGGGTTAGAGATAACCCAATCAAAATTAGTGGTCCTGGTTATATTGTCCTGATCGACGAAACATGCATTACAAGGGCCAAAGGAAATAGAAATGGCATGACCTGGCCGATCCATCCTTGTTTAGTTTTTGGCGGAATTGATTCTGAAACAAAGAGGCTTTTTCCTAGTGGAAGTTGATAGAAGGGATGCAACCACATTGTTACCTAAAATTAGAGACCATGTACAACAACATCACGGAAGTTACTGGACTGGCGTATTTTTATTTTGTTGAAATAAAAATTTTTAAAACAAAAATTTTTGATTTTGATTTGATTTTGATAACGTGTAAATATTTTGATTTTGTATATCGTGTAAATATTTTAATTTTAATTAATAAAAATTTTTAAATAAAAAATATTATCTTTTTTGTTTCTGAATTTTAATTATTCGGCGCATTCGTGAGTCGTAACTTACTTAAAAGTACTTTTAATTAAAAGATGCTGTTCAATGGTAATAAATATTTATAATTTAAATGGCTTGTCAATCCAACTTAAAGTGACAAAATGTAAACAAAGGCAATACCATGGAGTACGTACAGATCTCCGATTTTACTTAGGACAAAAGTATTCAATCAATCAATTTTCGTTTTGCGTCCAGAGACCCGGTTTCCCTTTTTGCGCCAAATTAGACGATCAGTTGTATCCATTTCATTTAAATTTAGAGCTTTCATGTCTTGCTCGATTGTTTGCGACCAGGACTTCTTTGGACGGCCTTTAGGACGTGTGCCAGGTACTTCAACATCTGCAAGAGAAGTTATGGCACTGTTTCCACTTCGTTTGACATGACCAAACCACCGCAGACGGTGTTGCCGGCATTCGTCCTTTACATCATCTAAACCAGCACGACGCAGGATTTCGGTAGATTTGATGTGGTCCTTCAGACTAATTCGACAATCCAGAACATCCCCTAGATATTGAAACGATGTGGCTTTCTCTATTTTAATTGCTTCAAAAACAGTGCTATTTCGAATTTGTTGTTGTGGATTGATGCAAGCAGGACAAACAAAATTGGAAATTTTAGATAAAGTACCAATTATTTTTGAACAACGTTTGTGACACCACTGGTTACACTGCTGACACTTGATTGAATTGTTACCTACACCAGCTTTACAAACTGAACAGGGCCATCGTCCAGTAGCTGTGGATTGGATGGGTTCACCAGTGTTCATTACTTTGGTTTTGCTGATGTTGACTTTGAATCCATGATCGGCGAGTCTGGTGTTCCAATCTTCAAACATCTGTGCTGCATTTTATCAATTTTTGAATGTAATAATCTTAAAATCTGTTGTTTTATTTTTAAACTAACTAATAATCTTCAAATAATATTTAAACATGATATTAAGGCTAGACCATCAAGGTCTAATTGTGAAAATAAATTGAAAGTCTCCGTTGTTAGAAACCAACTACTAGGTAGAAATATATGTTTTTATGGCGGACATAAATGGAATAAACTACCAATATTTAAAAGGACTTGTATGGTTTACCGCCCTTTTAAATATAAGTTAAAAAATTTTCTTCAATGCTTATCTTAATTATTTTTATTCAACATACTCTCTGGTTTATAATCTGTTTCAGGTTTTATTAAAATTTTACGTCTATCTTAAATATTTCGCCGGATTGGACTTGGATTTTTATTAGATTAATTTTTGTATTTTTCAGTCTGCAGTATTTCTTTTATTTTTTTATTTATTTTTATATTTTTGTTACATTTCATTTTATTTAGCTTGAATTGGTTTGTATCTCCTTCATACATGTCCTACATTTCCTTCTTTGGTGCAGAACGAAATTTATGTTTTGATAAGTGTATAATATCGCATAATAATTTACAATTAATTTACATTTAATTTTCACCGTTTTAAATGTTTTTAATGTTTCATTTAATTAATCAATCAATCAATTTTCGTTTTGCGTCCAGAGACCCGGTTTCCCGAGGTAGGACGTTGTTTTCTTTGCCATCAACTTTTTGCGCCAAATTAAACGATCAGTTATATTCATTTTATTTAAATTTAGAGCTTTCATGTCTTGCTCGATTGTGTGCGACCAGGACTTCTATGGACGGCCTTTTGGACGTGTGCCAGGTACTTCAACATCCGCAAGAGAAGTTATGGCACTGTTTCCACTTCGTTTGACATGACTAAACCACCGCAGACGGTGTTGCCGGCATTCGTCCTTTATATCATCTAAACCAGCACGACGTAGGATTTCGGTCGATTTGACGTGGTCCTTCAGACTAATTCGTTGCATCCATCGGAGCATTTTCATGTCAGTTCGTTGAAGTTGTTGTTCCAGTTTGGTTGTCATTGGCCATGTTTCTGCACCATATAACAACAACGGATGTATCACAGATTTATAAAGTCTTGATCGTAGTGGTAGTGGGATGTCACGCCGCATCAATTTAGAGGCAAGGAGATGCCATTTATTCCAGGCTGCACGTATGCGTGCTCGAATGGCAGCTTCAGCTGTTCCAGTACAATCCAGAACATCCCATAGATATTGAAACGACGTGACTTTCTCTACCTTAATGGCTTCAAAAACAGTGCTATTTCGAATTTGTTGCTGTGGATTGATGCAAACAGGACAAACAAAATTGGACACTTTATATAAAATATCAATTATTTTTGAACAACGTTTGTGATACCACTGGTTACACTGCTGACACTTGATTGAATTGTTACTTACACCAGCTTTACAAACTGAACAGGGCCATCGTCCAGTAGCTGTGGATTGGATGGGTTCACCAGTGTTCATTACTTTGGTTTTGCTGATGTTGACTTTGAATCCATGATCGGCGAGTCTGGTGTTCCAATCTTCAAACATCTGTGCTACACTCTGCTCAGACGTGGCTGTTAAAACGATATCATCAGCATATACTAGATTCCAAATGTCACCAGTGCGTATCGGTTTTGTAATTTCTTCCATCAGTTATAAATAACAGTGGACTGAGAATCGAGCCTTGGTGAACTCCAACGCCGATGTCAAATGCATCTGTGTTTCCAACCGTTGTACTGACAAGAGTCTTAGTATTCGTATACATTTCCATCACAAGTCGAACAAGATATTCTGGAATGAGTTGTCGACGTAGACTCCACCTGATTGCTTCACGGGGAACTCGATCAAATGCTTTTTCAAGGTCTACAAAATTGTGTGATAGTTGTTGATGCTTTGCAGTTGCCGAAGGATGTGAATTGCATCAACTGTTGATTTCCCTGCTAAGAAACCAAATTGATAATTTCCGATTGTGATATACGACGTTAATCTTCTCTCAATGATTTTCTTGACAATTTTCAGGGAGCGTTCTAACAGACGTATACCCCGATATGATGAACAGTTCAATGGATCACCTTTGCCTTTGTATAGAGGAACTGTCATGCTATAGTTCCATTCGGTCGGCATTGAGCAATTTCTCCACATTTCACGTCAAAGTTGTAGTAACGTATGGATACCTGCAGTACTAGATGCTTTGATAATGTCATTTGTGAGTCCAGAGGGCCCTGCTGCCTTTCCATCCTTCATAGCTTTCAGAGCTTCTGTAAGCTCCTCTACAGTGATGTCTGGAATCGGACTTTTGATGGGTGGAGCGTCAAAGTTAACATTGATGGGAATTGTTTCGTTTAACAGACGGTTGAAGTATTCTCTTCACTGTAGCTTGATCTCATCTTGTTCAAGAACCATCTAATTTTTAATACATGAGGCACCAACTATGTCTTTTTTCGTACGCTTTGCTTGTTTTGCTATACGATACAGAGATTTCATTTGTTCACCTTTGCTTTTAGTGAGCCACTCTCTGCACTGATCTGTCCGAGCCAGTGCAACTTGACGTCTTGTATAGTTGTTCTTCTCACAGAAAATTTTATGGTCATCAACAGACTTTGATTTTTGCCATTGCTTGTATGCAACTTTCTTTTCAGCTATTGCATTTTGTACACTGTCATTCCACCACCAAGTGTCACGTTCATGCTGACGTTTTGTACCAGTTTTCGCACAAACTGTAGTTGCAGCGTTCATCAAAATGGTTTTGTATGTACTCCAATCTATACTGGCTTGCGATTGGTGGTCTAACTGTGTGGCGACAATCTGTTGAAATTATTCTCGATGAATATTGCTTTTCAGCTTCCTTGTTTTGATTCTCCGAGGCATTTGTTTAGACTTATGTTTTGACAGTTCGACAACCAGGTCTGCCACAAGGAGTCTATGCTGGGCGACACATGATTCGCCAGGTATAACTTTGACGTTTTTGAATAGCCTTCGGTGTTGTTGCTTGACAGCGAAAAAATCAATTTGTGTGGCTGATGGTCCACTTTGTATGCTATGAGATGTTCCAACCTCTTTCTAAAATGTGTTCAGTAAACAAAACCCGTAACCTTCAGCAAACTCAAGGATGCGGTTGCCATCTTCATTCCGTTTTCCATAGCATGTACGTTGTCAAAACCATCTGTTTTCTCTCTAACGTGGCCATTGAGATCGCCTTCAATCAGGATTGTTTCAGATTTTGGTATTGTTGAGATGGTATTAGAGAATGCAGTCCAGAAGTCATTTTTCATTTCTCCTGATTCGCCTGTCTGTGGTGCGTATGCAGAAAAAATAATCATTGTCTGCTTTTCTATGCGAAGCTAGATCCACATGAGTCATGAATTAATCCTTTTAATATCCAGTACTTCTTGGGCTAGCGGTTCTTTGACAAAAATTCCAACACCATTTTTGGCCGTCTTTTGATCATTCCAGAATAGTTTATATTTTTCTTTGTCTGAGTTGACATGACAGACACCATTCGTTTTCCATCGGGTTTCCTGAAGGCAGCAGATGTCAATCCTTCTACGCTCGAGCATTTCTGCAATTTCCATGCTGCGGCCAGTCAGTGATCCAACATTGAGTGTTCCAAGTCTAAGTACCATAGAGGAACCATTCTGAATTTTTCTGCAACATCCCTCCGCTATTGCATACTTCCCAGTGATTCTTGGCACTCCTTGACCACTTAAGGCCTGCTGGGTACTAGGGACCGTTGTTTTTCTTTGTGATGGCATAAGAGTAATTTGAGAAAAAGTTTTTACATCCGGACACCCTTCCTGACGACAACCACCAGTTATAAGTGGTGGGCCTAGCCTTTTGCTCAAAATCACGCAAGGCAGCGTGGATGCAGTTTTATGTCATACCTAGGACCAATCATGACAAGGAAAATATTTTAAAAGTAACAAATTTCTTCGAACAAAGTATTGAAGATATGAAATATCAGGTTGGTGCAAAAATAATGTCGGTTTTCTACCATCCATTTTAAAATGCAATAAATTTGCTTTCATTTGAGATATTTAATCAAAATAAGATCCATAACAATCTATGCACATTTGCCAATGAGAAATTAAATCATTGATGCCTGTAGCATAAAAATCAGGGGTTCTAGAGGCGACAAACTGTAAGAAGGCATTTTTTGTAGCTTCTTTGGTTTTGAAGCACTTTTCACGCAAAAAGCTGTTGAGGTGTTTGAAAAAAGGAAATCTATTGGTGAGAGGTCTGGTGAGTATGGTGAGTGAGGGAGAATCTTGTAACCCAATGCGTTCAGTTATCATTGAGAAGGATCAGACCCTTTCTGCTGTTAACCAATGCAGGACGTAGTTGGTGTAATTTCTGGTGCATCTCATCAATTTGTTGGCAGTACATCTCTCTATTAATCTTTTGACCAGGTTTTAAAAAGCTATGGTGAATCAATCCAGCTGCAGACAACCAAACTGTCACCATTAACTTTCTTTGGTACAATTTTGGCTTGGGAAAGTGTTTTGGACTCTCATCATGATCCAACCACTAAGCTGAACGTCGTCTGTTATCATATAGGATCCATTTTTCATCACACATCACAATCCGGTCAAGAAACGGATCATTTTTATTAAGCAGAACAAGTGTAGCTGACACCTCAAAATGCCAAATTTTCTGATTTTCGTTCAATTCATGTGGAACCCACTTGTCAAGCTTTTTGACTTTACCAATCTGTTTCAAATGACGAACTACTCTTGTGTGATCAACCTTGAGTTCATCAGCAACTTCTCAAGTAGTTTTAGCTGGGTTTGTGTCAATAATTTCCTTCAGTTTGTCATCATCAATCCCGGATGGTCACCCGCGATCCTCATCATCTTGGAGGCTTATGTCACCAGTACGAAATTTTTTAAACCATCTTTGTGTGGTACACTCAGAAGCACCGACGTCGCCCCATGCTTCCACAATATTACGAGTTGCCTCTGCTGCATTATGCCCGAGTTTAAACTCATGAAGCAAAATAATCTGAAAATCACGCTTAGACAACATTCTCAAATATCACTCAAAATAAAAGACACTGAATAGTTGGACCAATTAATTAATAAAGGCTAGATAGAAAAATAAATAACCTTCAAAATGATATATAATGATCAATATTTTCAATAAATTGTATTTAAAAATTTAGTGATGAAAAATTTATTAACATAAAACCGACATTATATTTGCACCAACCTAATATTTTTATGACATGAAACAACCCATTACCATGGCATATATACATATACAGCCATAAGCATATGTATATAATAATATTATAGCTATTATTTTATTATATAATAATTTATTTATAATTAATATAATAAAAAATTAAAATAATTATATTATGAAAACTGAAAAGATAATGATTATCTACTCATAATTTAATTATTTTAATATATATATATATATATTATAAAACAAAATTTTCAATTTTAATTTATTCATGTGTGTACCAATGAAAACTTCTTAATTTATAAATCTTAAATTAAATCTTAATTAAATAAACATTTATAATTAATCAATTAGTTTTTTAAAATAACAAAATGTTAATCAATGTTACTTACATTTCCCTGAGTCTGAGTGCAAGCCACCATAATCAGTGCAGAAAAAAATAAGAAAAAAGCTTTTAAATGAAGCAAATCCATAATAAATAATTTAATTTTAATTTGTTTTTGCAGAATTTAATTAATTTAATTTTAATTAAATTTAAAAAACAGCAGACTGTAGATTAGCTTTTTCAGTCGATGATATTATTTTATTTTAAAATTAAATAATTTTATAAAAGTATTTCCTAAAAACTGAAAAAATTAACAACTTCTTCTAAATTAAACTCGTTTCCCTCGACACTCTCATACAACCAAAACTTTATGCAAAACATGGAACGATGGTAGGACCATTAACATTAGCTTATGCAGTGAATAAGCGAAGGAACATTGAAGGAAAGCAAGACGTTTATTTTTAAGGGTGCATCTCCAAAACAATTAAAACAAGTTATTGAACTGTTGAACAGCTGTTGAACAAATTCTGCAAAATGTATATCTACACCGCTATTTATTTTAAAACTTGTAGTTATAAAATAAAAATAATATACTTAGCTGTAAATGTTATAGCGATTTATGATAAAAATAAACCTAGAAACCTAACAAAAAAGGTTTTGTAAATTTAGAAACGCGCCCTAAACAGATTGAGCTTGTTGAATTAATATTTAAATTTGTATATAATGGCTGGCTGTGTTGATTCATTTAACATCCCTATGTCACACCCATTCATTATAATTTTATCGTACGATGTTTTAAACAACAAAGATTTTTTTTTGTTAATATTGATATTTACATTTTAAACAAAAAAAAATACCAAATATGTTGTAAAAAAATTTTCTGCAATGAAAATTACAAAATAAATCTTTTTCTCATTATTCATTTTGACTTCAATAGAACCAGGCCACTTTTTCTAACCAATAGAATTACAGAAGATAACGTACGTTTGTATGCAAGCCAAATGACCGAGACCGCATGCCTGTAATTTACGCACACACACACACGTACGCACAAGCATATATATTATATATGTATATATATATATATTATTATTATTAATGAAACATTTATAAGCGCTAATTAAAATCAAAAAGTTCTCAAAAGCGCTATCTATCATCAAACAAAGTCAAAAAAGAAAAAAATACAGTCAATGGCGGTAGTAACAAACAAATAATTATTTACTTAACAACAAAATCAAAGCGAAAATAAGTAAGTTTTAAGTTTCTTTTTAAAATCATCAAGTTTCAAATCTTTAGTTCTAAAAGATCTCGGTAAGCTGTTCCAAACCATTGGTCCAGATACTTCAAAATCTCTTGATGCTATCTGCAGATTGACATCAGGTACAACCAGCAAAATGCCATCATCTGATCTAAGGTTCATACCACTCATCATTATAGACTTTTCTTTTATTTTATCTACCAAATAACTTGGTAACAAGCCATGCACAGTTTTATACATTAAAATACATATTTTATATTTAATTCTTTTCTTTATAGTAAGCCAATGAAGGCTCTTAAGAATTGGAGTAACATGGTTAAATTTGAGACCTCCAGCAATCAATTTGGCTGCTCTATTCTGAATAGATTGAATTGCAGAAATAGACCTATCTGGCAAACCGTAAAACAGACCATTGCAATAGTCCAATTGTGAATGAACCAATGCATGCACCAAGGTATGAATAGCAGATTTATCCAATGACCTACGGAGTTTATAGAGTTTTCGAATCTGTCTGGAGCAAGAATTTGTTATCATCTTTATATGATTATGCATCGATAATCTAGAATCAAGAATGAAACCCAGATTAGTTGCTTTGTCACTAAATTCTATTTTAACATCTCCTATTTTCACTGAATCGATATTAAGTTTCATCAGCTGCTGCCATGTACCTATTAGAACAAATTTTGACTTCTGCTGATTTAATCTAAGACCATTGTTTGACATCCAATTATCTATGTTATTTAGGCAGGTTACAAGTTTGTTGATTTCAGATTGCAGTAATTCTGGCTTATTACTAACTATAATCTGAATATCATCAGCATAGGCATGATATTTAAAACCGAAATTACCAATTACTTTAAAAACTTCAGCGGTATACATGATAAAAAGAATAAGTCCAAGCACTGAACCTTGTGGCACTCCTGATGTCAAAACCGTTTCATTAGATAACACATTATTGAAGACTACTTGTTGCTTTCTGTCAAACAGATATGATCTGAACCACTTGATAACAGTACCGGAAATACCATAATCATGAACCAATTTTTCCAAGAGAATCTGATGGTCTACACAATCAAATGCCGCACTCATATCTAAAAACGCGACTAGAGCCACATGTTGTTTGTCCAAAGCAGCAAACAACTCAGAAAACACATAAAGCAGTGCAGTTTCCATTGAATGATAGCGGCGATATCCAGACTGGTGAACTGGTAGCAGGTTGTTTACATTCAAATGATTCAAGAGCTGTTTGGCAACCACTCGTTCAAATATCTTGGAAATGAAACAGATGTTGGAAATTGGTCTATAACTAGACAAATCATTTTGATCCATATTCACTTTTTTTAATACTGGATAAACCATAGCATGCTTACAACCATTAGAAAATGTGCCACTGCTCAGACTCAGATTTAAGATGCTGGCAAGAAAAACGATGAATAAATCAATATATTTCTTTAAAATATGGGTCGGAAAAACATTATCATACATGTTTTTGATGGCAAACTGAGTACAATTTTTTTAACGTCAGATTCTGTTAAAAGCATAAAGTCAGGAAAAGAACAATTCCCATTGTACTGAGCTTGACAAATAGTCGGACAATTACTCACATTGGTAGACTGTTTAATTTTATTTACTTTATCATTAAAAAACTTTAAGAATTGAGACGAATCTAAACCAACAATTTCACTCAATGACTGACCAGTGACCTGATTACAAAGGACTTTATTAATAACATTCCATAGATTTTTAAAAGATCCACTATTGTCTGCTACAAGTCTTTTCCAATAACTGTTTCTTTTTTGTGAAAAAAGCCTAGATTTATTTTTCAGAGCTGCTATCCACTCATTTTTACATTTCTCTGTCTGATATTTTCTGTAATTCCTTTCTTTCTTTCGACGAAGTCTTTTGAAAGATTTACATTCACCATCATACCACGGAGCATTAACATCACATCTGACTTCTACAAAACGAAGTGGAGCAACTGCATC